TGACCTCAAGAATGGGCTTGCTGCTACCTAAAGGTGTTCCAATTAATATAAATTAGGCACAATAGAGCTGAAACTCTATAGTTTCAGCACCTGCTTTATGAACGAGCCCCAGTTTGAGAGTGTTGTCCTGTTGTGCCAGATGAGCTTGAAAAGTGTCCAATCTGAAATTGGAGTCATAGACTTCTTGGGAACCCCTGGGGCTGGAAGGATATCAAGACCCTTAAGTTTGTAAATGAGGGAGCAGAGGTCAACATTCAAGAGATCTGGATACATGACATACAAATATAATGGAGGTTCACATTGGAACACAAACCCACACCCAAAAAGGTGAGCTATTTTTACTAAGGGAGTCATTATAACAATTTGAAAATGTAATTCAAAATGAGATATAGGGCACACAGCAGAAATATTGGTGTGGAGAAAACATAACAGCATATTGCACAGTTTATTTAGAAAGAGGAATAATTTTGAGAATTATTCAAAGCTAATATCTTTGACTCCATCTGCTTGGACATAGACATATATTTCCATGAAATTTTGAACAAATTCAAATGAAACCTCTCTCTCAACAAGAATACCTAGATATTGCAAGATGGGCCACACAGCAAACTATAGATTGGAATTGTTCCGTCATTAAATTATTCAAAAGCTGGGAGGTAAATGCTGTCAAACAAAATTAGTATTTTCAAAATGCAGTAATTTTTCACTTATTGTTGGCTCAGTCAATATTCTTTTGCTGAAATATCACTGGCAAATAGGGAACACAAACACTATTATTGTTGCAACATTCTCCATAATATTGTGTTCCTTGTTCTCCCCGTTCCAGATTGAACATCTGAGATTTATCTTGGACAGAATCATACAGTCCCCTATGGACAGGGTTGTAAGCAGTAGCCCCATAAAATTTCACAGATGCTGTTCCTGCACCTACCCCCACTGTGATTTAATAGGCAATGGTTGGGGAAGCTTGAGGTAATCTGCCTTCACTGCCTTTAAGTGAGCAATTAATGGCTACTTTGGGGCCACTGCCCATTGAGCTGAAATATTTTGCCTGGCAGGAGGAGGTTGGAGATGGTCAGTCACCCTGGCATAGAGGCCTGCTTGGATTTCAACCAGGAAATAGGGATGGCTTCCTTCACAGGACCTCTTTTCAAACTCCCCAGGTCCAGCCCCTTCTGGGGTTAGCTCTAGCCAAGCTCTTGCAACACAGACCTCAAAGCCCAACGCCCTCTCCCAGCCCCACCCCAGGGGGTATCCTACCTCAGCTTTGCTGAGCTCACTTCCCAACCTACCTGTCATCCTCCTCCTGACTCTTCATCTTTGGGCACGGGTGAAATCCCAGCAGAGACCAGCCTCTGTGTTGGCACTGGAATGACTAGATTAGCTGAAAGTGGATCTTGTTCCCCAAATGGGGCGTTAAATCACGGCAGGACAGACTGCTGCAATGAAGCAGGTTTTACAGCCACGTTTTTACTGGTAATGGAGAGGGATTGCACAGAAAACATATCCATGTGTAAATTCCTGCCCCATGGTTAATAATTTTAATTCCCACAGTTTTCATTGGTCATAGAGTCATACACTATACAACACCGAAGAAGACCCTCTCGTTCCAATTCGATAATGCTGACCAGATATCCTAAATTGATCTAGCCCCATTTGCCATCATTTGGCCCATATCCCTCTAAACCCTTTCTTATTCATTTACCCATCCAGATGCCTTTTAAATGTCGTAATTGTACCAGCCTCCACTTCCTCTGGCAGCTCATTCCATAAACACACCACCCTCTGCGTGAAAACGTTGCTCCTTAGGTCCCTTTTAAATCTTTCCCCTCTCACCTTAAACCTATGCCCTCTAGTTTTGGTCTCCCCTACCCTGGGGGAAAGACCTTGATTATTCACCCTATCCATGCCCCTCATGTTTTTATAAAATTCTTTAAGGTCACTCCTCAGCCTCCAATGCTCCAGGGAAAATAGCCCCAGTCGCTCCTTGTAGCTCAAATTTTATCAACTTAGATTACACCTTCTCTGGCTGAAGGCAGGTTTGGCCCAAGGCACTGTACATGGATAGAACAAGGAGACAGGTCCCAAACCAATGCAACTGCAACAGGGATTGAACCCCCAGTGCTGGCAAGCATTTAATCTACAGTAACCATCTAACCAACTGAGGTAACCAGCTTCTCAAGAAGTCTGAGATGCTGTGACAGCACATGTTTTTATGTAGCCTGAGTAGTGACCAATCACTAGATCACATTGGGTTAAAAACTGAATATTCGTGACATGGTTTCAATAATATTCAAGATTTCTCTCTAATAGTAAGAGTGTCACAGTAAGTATGATCTGATAAGTAGGAATAACAGCTAAATGTTTACATAACGGGAACTTTTTTAAACAGAGAAGATGTGTATTTCCCAGTCCACTGTAGTATTCTTCCTCTTTGATCTCCATCTCCAAAATATGACAGCTCATGCTCAGTGGGCAGTGACTTTTCTCTGTTTAGTCAACTGACAGCCACTTTACATGTGTGACATTAAAAAGTAATACCACAGAATTGAGCCCTATTGGGCTCACCATCAGATTCTATTGTTTGGCCATGATCTCATTAATCGGTGGAACAGGCTCAAGGGGCTGAATGGCCTACACCTGTTCCTATGGTCTTCTCAGGACTTGTCCTTTCCTGATACCTTTTGAAAATTGTCTATTTCAAACAGTGATCAATAGTGTTCAATTGTTCTGTGTTGGATGATGTGTGTCTTTAACTAATTGAACTTAATTAATTTGGTGTTGATTCAGAGCAAAGTAAACAGACACCACAGAAGCAGTAGAAGTTAGATCTGGAACGAAGGTGTAGACATTCTAAAACATTGTAATTAAAGTTTCTTCATGCTTAGAAGCTAGTATCATCTCTATTGCTTTGAAATAAATCAAATATATAAAACACATAGCAATATCCATAAGTATCACCAGGTAATCAATTCTAGAATCACTATTCAATGGTGATTAACAGACAGAATCCAAGATAAGTTTCTTCAGCCCAACCTAGGGATAGTGATACTCATTCTAGTGATGATCCCAGCTACAATGAGTTCATTTAGAGATTAAACATATTCCTCAATAAAATGGTTAGATTCCAAAAGCAACTTAATGTGATCCATAGGACATTATTGTATTTGTCCTGTTCGGAGCAGAGTGTGGCAAACATTGTTTGGAGATGAGTAGTCAATGGTTGAATGGTGGATTGGTTGGATAACTATTCTGGGAGTTTTGTTTTTGATTATCTCTGAAGTTTGTTAGGTTTCTTTACAGTGTGGTTTCAATCAAAAGATGAAACAAGAGTGGAAACTGCGCAGAATATGTGGACTTTCCAGTTGTTTATGAATCTGAATAGTTCAGTGTCACCCCATGTGGTACATTAACCCACAGATCCATCTTGGGTGTCCTTGTTTTAAATATATGCATCATGTTCTGACTGTTAGTGTGAAGTCTGAGCGATAAATCCAGAACAGGAAAAATGTATTTCTCAAACAAAGGCAAAATAATGTGGATGCTGGAAATCTAAAACGAACACAGAATGCTGGAGATCTGAGTGTGTCTGGAGACAGAAACACAGTTAAGTTTTTGAATCCAGCTTCTTCTCTGTTTGTGTAAGAATTAATTTCTCGCCATTGGTCAATGCCTGAAGTGTTAATTCTCTTTCTCTCCCCCCACAGATGCTGATCATTTCCAGTATTTTCTATTTTTATTTAAGATTGTCAGCGTTTGCAGTATTGTGCTTGTGCTTTTTATTTCCCCAAATTAGTCAAAATGCCTCTCACCTCTTTTATTGATTCTGGCCCATGCTTCGGGAATAATTCACAGTAGAGAATGGCCATTTAGGTGGCTTTCAAGGCTTTATTTTCAAAAAAACAAACCATGCTACTCTGAGATGTATGGAGATCCTTTTGTCTGTAAGTGGAAATCCAGTGGGAGACATGCTTTTTGTCTCCAGCATCATGGTTCAAACACAGTTGAGCTTGAAATGATGATCTCTTATCTAGCTAATCAGGATTCTGGGATAATCAAGTTTACAGTGTAACTCAGTCCCCAGCACAAAAACTGTCCATAAATTGCAAGAACACTATACTCTCTCTGATACAGGCTGAAGAAAATTCCACAGATGCTACAGGTGATATTAATCTTAGGACATAGTTAACCATTTTTGTGCTAGAATAAAGTTTCTGTGCAACGACCCTCCTGCTATATTCAATCTTGCAGTATCCACACTGATATTTTTGTGTAAAATGGAGATGTGCTCCATCTAGATTTATTGTACTGAAGTGAAGAAACCTCCCTAGTTTCACCTAATGTAGAAGACCAGCTGCTAGAAAAGGTACTTTGTTTGCTGTAAAGTGCTTTGTGACATTCAGACTGCAAAAAGAGGTTATAGAAGCACCGATACTTTATTTTTATTCAAGGCTGAGCAACCATTTATTGCAGCGGCTTTTCTCAATGCTTGAAAGAAGAAAAAGCCTCAAACAATTGGACAGGTTTTTGACTGATAAGTTCAGCTTTTAGTGGACTTGTCTCTCCACTGATGAATGGGCCAGTGAAAGGGAAAATTCAATTTGGTCACCCAAAGGTCCATCCTATACATCCATTGCTGGGTCTTTTCAAAAGTATTACCCAATAGTAAGTGTATTCATAATGTGAAGTAATTGGCCCTTGAACTAGGCACTCATGTAACCTGTGCATCTGTAACCAGAATGTCGGGGGAGTGCATTTATACTGACCCTGATGCTGCTACAGTTAGAATACGCAAAGCTGGACTCTGAGTAGACAACATATCCAGGGCTAAATCTTAAGAGTTTTTGCCTGAGTGAAAGTTATGTTGAGCTTTGAGATTTTTGCCACAAGATCTGGTGAGTTTTCTTGCCAAATCTTAACAAATTTGCCACATTAATTACCATTGCCACTCATATGGTGTATACAAAGCCTGATTTTCCATCCCATCTACCTTCCCTGAGGAACTCACCACTCAGGCAGATATCACCCCAAGACCAGTATCCCTTGAGTCTCTGCCCTCTCTGAACTGTTGCTGTTTACCTGGAGAAGCATTGGCATTCGGTAGCTGTCTATGTCGCTGTGCCAGCAGTGAAGAAGGATGGTGGAGAAGGGGGAAGTTGGCACCATGTTTCTCAGAGACAGATCAGAGGTATGGGATGGTGCAGTGAACAGATCTTCTCCTCCCTGGAGGCCATGCTGCCCAGATGATGCCAGGCTGGTTGCAGATCACCACCCAGGTCGGTGTCATCTCCAGGGTGTGGAGGACAGGACTGGAGGTCAAAGATCTTCTGCAATCTGCCAGGGTGAGTGCCATATTCTGCTCTTTGCCATCTTACACTCATTTTATCCCAGGCACCGCACCTACCTCCCATCAAGGTTCATGTCCTGACATTCCTCTGTTGCATGTGACCCCTCTCCGCAATCACTCCCCTGACCCCGCACCCTCCCACAACCCTAACAATGCATACCATGCAGCCAGTTCTGCAATGCACTACCGTTGCTCAAAAGCTGGAGCAATGCAGCCAGTCCTGTGGTCAACTATCCGTCTCCGTGGATGAGTTAGTGACTCCCATGGAGGGACAGGCCCAGCATCCTAACGGGCTGCCAGAGTTGGCACACCTACATTCTGATGCCCCGTGCATTGATCCTCAGGACCAAAAACAGGGCAAAAGTGGGGATGGGGAGGCTCTACCTTGGCCCAAGTGGTACCTTCTCACAAGGAGACAGGGTGATGCCAGGAGACACCCAGCCACAGGAGGAACCACTCACAGGTGATGGCCTAGTGGTATTATCATTGGATTGTTAATCCAGAGACCCACCTAATGTTCTGGGGACCTGGGTTCAACTCCCACTGCAACTGATGGTGTTTTTTTTAATTATCCATTCACAGATGACGGCATTACTGGCTAGGCCCAGAGGGCATTTAAGAGTCAACCACATTGCTGTGGGTCTGGAGTCACATGTAGGCCAGACAAGGTAAGGATGGCAGTTTCCTACCCTAAAGGGCATTAGATGAGTTTTTCTGACAATTGATTCATGGTCATTAGTAGACTCTGCCATGGTGGGATTCGAACCCAGATCCCCAGAACATCACCTGGATCTCTGGATTAACAGTCCAGTGATAATACCGTGAGGCCATTGTCTCCCCAAGATGATTTAAATTCAATAAAAATGATCTGGAATTAAAAGTTTAATGATGACCATTGTCAATTGTCAGGGAAACCTCATCTGGTTCACTAATGTCCTGCAGGGAGGGAAACTGTCACCCTACATGTGACTGCAGACCTTCAACAATGTGGTTGACTCCTAACGGCCCTCGGGGCAATTATAGATGGGCGATAAATATTGGCCTAGCCAGGCGATGCACTCATCTTGTGAATGAATGAGAGAAAAGGCTTTTCAGCAGTTTTTGATCAGGACTATGCAGAGGTGGTTGCACCTTACACTCCACTAAGCCTGCTTCCCTCTGACCCCTGGATTTTAAGGCTGAGCAAAGGTATGTTGTCTCTGGAAAGAAGGCCCTCAGCATGTCAGGCCATGGTCCTGGACTAATGGGATCCACTACAGAGCAATGACCTATCATCAACAGAGGAGTGCAGTGGAATGCAGCAGGAGGGAGAAAAAAAGAAAATTGTCCTGAGGGCATGTTCAGGTCATGGCTGGTAATGTTAATTCTGAAGAAGAGTCCCGACCCGAAACAACATTGACTTTCCTGCTCCTCTCATTCTGCCTGACTTGCTGTTCTCCTCCAGCTCCACACTGCATTGACAATGTTAGGTAAATAGTTTGTTTTCTTCCTAGATACTTGTTGTTCATCACTCATGTGGTTGTCTGTATTTCTGTGGAGCACCTAGATGCTTCACTGTGCCCTACAGCATCACTCTGTTGGCATTCATGAGGCACAGTGGCTAAGGGTCTACAATGACCGATAAAACATCATGAGGCAGTGGGGTTAGCAATGGGTGCACATGGCATAGATTCAGTATGACAGCATCACCCTATGCTCCTCCCACCCACCCCACAGCACAAAACCTACCCCTTGGACTGGCCCTTATGGAGGCAAATGACTGACCGTGACCCACTCCCTGGAGCACAGACGCACAGCGTCACTGTGTAATTCCACCCCAACTGGACTCTTAGCCACGGCTAAAGGCCAGGACTGATATGTGATGCTGCCCTTGACTTAGTGTTGAATCCCCTCTGACAGATACCCCTTATGGACCTCATTGCAGACTACTCCCCTTAGACTTTCAGAAAGGTCCAACTGTTAGTGCAGATGCAGCATGCAGATGAGCATTCCTGCAACATGGTACAGACTTGGCATTCTGACACACGACAAGAGGGACACCCCTTTGACTGAGGTTTACTACAGGGACTGCCACCTCTTTTTAATTATTCGTTCACGGGACAAGGACGTCTCTCTTTAGACCAGCATTTATTGCCATCCCTTATTGCCCAAAGAGCAGTTAGCAGTCAACCAGATTGCTACAAGTCTGGACCAGATAAGGATGACAGTTTCCTTCCCTAAGGGACATTAGAGAACCAGATGGGTTTTCCCCAACAATCAACAACAGTCATCATTAGACTCTTAATTCCAGAGTTTTATTGAATTCAGATCATGGTAGGATTTGAACCTGGGTCCCAGGAACAATACCTTGGTCCCTGGGTTAATAGTCTAGTGATAACACCACTAGACTATCAACATCCCCTATTGCAAGGCAAGGAAGAGCATGCATGCTAAGGGCATGGTAGTAAGCACCAGGTGAATGCACTCAGATGGCACAAGAGAGCAACCTTGATAGGCAGCCTATTCCAAGCTGCAGACAGGGTACCAGTCTCTGTGTGTGGTCTCTGATAACATGGAGAAAGGCCAGAATGGTGGTGATGACTCCCTGAAAATTTAGTGCCAGTATCTGAGGTGGAAGGGTATGTTGTGGTTGGTGCTGTTGGATCATGCCTGATCTGCAGTTTGCCTGTGGGCAAGATGGAGTTTGCTCAAAGGAAGGGGCCTAGTTGAAACTGCCAAACATCCACTCAGGTCTTCATAGATAGTAGGAACTGCCAATGTTTTTCATGTTGGGTTTTCCTGATTGCTGGCTTGTTGGGAGGACTTGGTAAGATCACAACTGGAGTATCAATGTGGCGAGTTGTGTCATCTGAAGGACCTTGACAAATGTTAATCACTATCAGTTAGTGACTCACCACTGCCCAGTGAAAATCTTCCACACTGCTTGAGAAAAGTTTACAAGACACAGTGAAGTGACCTCAAGATTGAAGTGGGTCTCTGTCCCAATTGTGCCAGACATCTTGCCATAGCCTGTGTCGCTCAGAACTCAGTAAGTTTTCACCCTTCAGATGTGAATGGTCAGCCTTAAGTCTTGGCCCACCATTCTGTCCGTTTTTCCCACTCTACACTAATGCCTGTCTATCGATAAAATCTGTGGTTGTCTTGCCACTGACGTGACCTTGACTCCTAGTTTGCTTACATTGTCTTATCCAAAGAAAATATAAAGCTAGGTGGGGTGGGGAGGTTGGGGGGTGTCGTGGGGAAAGAGTGTGTAGGGAGTAGCTGTGGTGATGGGTGTTCCAGAGCTCTATTGAATTCAAATTCCATCGTCTGTTGTTGGGTGGTGTTGTAGAAGAGAGATCAGAAAGGCAGGGGGATGGGGGCAAGCAACATCTAAATCACCTCATAAAGCCACGCTGTGAGAGAAAGTTCTGCCACAATCCTATGGCCGAAGTCAGATTGCAACTTGTCCTGCCAAAACAGTAAGAACAATTCCAACTTGGTAGAGTCTGCTGGAGCAAAGCCAAGGTCCATAAAGAGTTAAGCCGAGTTTTTTGTCATCCTGTGAGATCCAGCCTCGGGAGCACTGCTGCCAGGAGAATCTGACTGCGTCCCTGCCAACCCCTCCAGCCCTCCCCTCCCATGTACACCCCTGTCACCAACACTCACCCTCCCTGCAACCCCCACCATCCCTTCAAAGCGTTTAAGTCACAGCCTGGAATCAAAGAGTGCCTGAGCCTTGTTTTAATTTGAGTTTAGAGAAAGACGGTATTCAGCAGCATATTGTTGAAGCATGCAGCGGTGGTGACACTGAGCATACTTCAATGCTTCAGATTGGACGGTGGTCACTGCTGCCTGACGCCTTATCAGGGACTTAATTTCACCGCAAATCCTCTGGAGTGCAGCTTCATCTTCTGAGCCCATGCCAAGCGAATTCTCATCTTCCCACTTGTCTGCAGGCTGTTTGGAGGTTCTAATGCGGCTGGCTTGATGCTATTAATCCTGCTTCAAGTTGATACATGCAAATGCTGATGGAAAAAAAAAACACAGAAAGGGAAATAAAAACAAAACAGAAAGAGAGCATCCAAGTGGCGACCACAAGCCATACTGCCATGGGAACTCTCCTAATTGAAACCTAAACTAGCCCTTTATTGTCAGTACAGAAAAAAGATTTATAACACACCCTTATGTCTCGGCATCTCCTCCTCATAAAAACAATGATTTACCCAAAACAGACAGTAAATTATTGCACGGCCTCATTCCTTAACAGCCTCTCCCATGCTAAGAAACCCAGTAGCCTTCCTAATTAACTCGTTTGACTGAGCACTGTAAAAGCAATTGAATTTATTTACTTTATTTGTATTTTGATTTTTTTTTTTAACAAGGAGAAGCTGAGACGAGAACAGTCAGTTGCCTGGTGACCTGACCGAGCTAGATCTGTCTGAATCCAAAGGAAAGTTAAACGACTGAAGGGGGAAGATTATGAAGTGGCTGTTTACTGTTCTAGACCACAGAGTGAACTGCGGCAGTAACATAATCAAACTGTTGCCATCAAGAATTAGAAACGCAGAGGTGCGATATCTGAATGTTATAGAATTGTTTGCTCATTATGAATATTGTGTGCTTGCCATGTCAGGTTTAAAGGCTATATGATTTCTCAGTAGATTAGTTGGCTCCACACAACTTATTAATATCTGTATCCCTGTTCTGTTCAGTTCAGTCAGCATATGCGGCTCCCTGTGTTATCTCCTCTTAAGACCATTGACTATGCATTTGGGAGCTGTAATTTATAATGTAGTCCCTGTTATAATGATGGTGCCTTACAGGGTTTCTTTATTAGATTGGCAGCTTCTAACAATGAAAACTATATCCATGTTCATGGTATCTCAGAGAATATTGAAATGATTGGTATGTTCATGTTTTTTTTCAAGCTTTCTTGATTAACGAGACAGCCATATATCAGGAATGATTGCCACTTTAGTCAGGCTTTTGGCCTGGTGTAAAAAAGAATTTTGAGTCCAGGCCAAAAGGACTGTTGTCTGATAATAGCCAATGGTCACCATGGTGTACAATAACATAAATTGTGCTGGTTTGCATATGATAGGAATGCACATATTAAACATGCATCCAAATGTACAAACAAGGAACAAGAGAAGGCAATTTGGCCTTTTGAGTCTGTTCCACCATTAAATAAGATCATGACTGATCTGATTTTAACCTTAACCCTACATTCCTGCATACCCCCGAATTATCTTTCATCCCCTTGGTCGTCAAGAAACTATCTACCTCTGCCTTGAAAATATTTAATGATTCTGCACCCACAGCCTTTTGATGAAGGGAATTCTAAAGACCTACGCCCCTCACAGAGAGGAAAAAAAAAAGGATGAACCTTATATGATTTGACAACAAACTTTGAGTTAGCTCAGAATCCCAAAAATTAAGGAGTATGTAAATATGATTAAAACCAGGTTGTCTATGGGAAGGGCGTACATTAGTGCAACAGAAAAACAATCCACCATGTGTGGAGAGAGAAGCAGAATTAACATTTTGGGTTAATAAGCATCCATCAGGATTGGTTCACAGGGAGATCAATGTAATCACAGTTCTGTCCATATACCCTCTCTCTGAAAGCAGTGCTAACGAACAATTAACAAACTAAACAATTGGGTAAATATTCCAGCTGTTTCCAAGTCCTGAGCCTGCCCCTGGAAAAGACAGACATTAGAATCATAGAATCCCTACAGTGCATAAAGAGACCATTCAGCCCATCAAGTCTGCACCAATTCTCCAAAGAGCATCCCACAATCCCCCCCACGCTATCCCCAAAACCTGGTATTTAACCATGGTTAATCCACCTAGCCTGCACATCCCTGGACTCTATGGACAATTTCCCATGGCCACTCCACCTAACCTACACATTTTTGGACTGTGGCAAGAAACCAGAGCATGCTGCAGAAACCCATTGAGAGGACGGACAAGCTCCACATAAAAAGTTACTTGGGGCTGGAATCAAACCTGGGTCCTTGGCGCCATGGGGCAGCAGTGAGCCACTGTGCCACCCACAGGGGGATTAAATGCGATTTTTACCGGGTGTTCCCTTTAGTTAGGATGGAGATGTGAAGGATGGCGGATGGGATCTCAAAGAATAACAGCATACCTGAGGCCTCCTAGCTTGTGAGGAGCAGTAGGCTGCGATGGAAGGTAGATGGGGTACTTCGACATAGAGCTGCCCTCTCACTAAACGTTTTAACTTATTAAGTTAAAAGGACAGATAATAGCCAGGCCACCAACATAGAGTAAAATGTTGGATCCCTTTTCAGAGTGATTTATTCTTACTCTTGCACTCAGGCGGGCAGGAAAAGCTTCAATCTCTAGCCGGACGTTCGGTTTGCAGGACTGCCAGTAGGTGTCTACCTCCTGGCATCTAAACTGCCCCTGGAGACCAGCTAGAACATCTCTGTCAGCCTCTTTTGATTGATTTTAAACAGTCCCCCACAAACCTAATCAGCTATCCACCATGGAAGAGGGTGCTTGCCTTCACAAATCTATGTCCGCCCCAGTCCAACACTGGCATCTCCACATCTTTGCAAATATTGCCAGATCTGGGAAATGGGTATGACAAGAGGTGTTGTAGTTTCAGGTTATGCCCTCCATTTTGCCCACCTCCTGTAGGTGCTGTCCAAAAATCCAGTCCCTTAACTCTTCTTTTTCTTTCCTGGGATGCCTTTATCTCAGATTTCCACTGTCATGGTGAATCCACCAAGCTGTGTTCAAAACGCCACAGGTAATGGGGAGATGCGATTTCCAAGGGTTTTCTCTTTATTCCTCCTGCAAAGTCTGAGCCATTTCCCTGTGGAAAAGCTACCTTAAACTCAGAGACCAATAATGTGTCCCAGGCACATGTAGCTTTCAATCAAACACTTCTTGACAATGAGGTTTGTTGTCAGTAACACAACATCAATCATAATACTGTATCTGATTATAATTAATGCGCTCCATGAGGAATCCGAGTGTCATGCCAACCATGGAGGAGGGATTCCAAAATTGCACGAATGTTCATAGTTATCTGTGAGGATTTTAAAGAGGTGTCTAACATCAATGACATATAGCAAGCATAAAAAAAAAGACAGTGTAACTGGACGAGTATTCCAGAGGCCTAGACTAATGAAATAATGGGAACCAAGTCCCAACGTCATGATGGTAAGAGCTGGATGAACAAATCTGGAATTAAAACAAAACCGGGTACGTGAATAGGAAAGGTTTGGAGGGATATGGGCCAGGAGCAAGCAGGTGGGACTAGTTTAGTTTGATATTATGTTCAGTATGGACTGGTTGGACCAAAGGGTCTGTTTCCATGCTGTATGAGTCTATGACTGTAGTCTCAGAAAAAGTGATCTTGCATGACCAGTCATTGTTGTGAAAACCTATCTGGTTCAATAACATCTTCTCTGGAAGGAACTCTGGAATCCTTGCTGCTGTGGCCTACAGGTTAACTCTCAACCCAGTGCAGCCTGGTTGGCTCTTAACTGTCCTCTGCAATGGCCAAGAAAGCCATACCATTCACTGGCAATAGCGGGTGGACAATAAGTGCCGCACTTACTCAAGACATCCCATGAAAGAATAAGACATAAAGAAAAGGTTGTCGACATCCAAGTCAATGACAGGAATGAGCCATTCATGTTACTTTGCTCAAGTGACAACAGTTACAGTCCATGAACACATGCATTGCACTCTCACTCCAACTAAGGAGATTACTGCTGCATCCATCAATATCACTGAGACACAGGGCACAGGACAGGGATGTGCAACATGGCCCAATAGCTAGGGCCCCGGACACCAAAGGGCCTGCTGTGTTTGATTTATTGGCAGGCCCAGGCCAGCAATAGCATTGAGCTCCATGATTTCAGTTCAAAGACCTAGGTGGAAGGTTTTTTTTGCTTTTATAAAATTTGATTTCAGACTGTGGTAACCCCAAGCTAGGAACCTTTACTGCCCATCATTAGTTTCCACTGGAAGTGTTGATCAAGCCAGATAACGTGGGACAGAAACAACACAGGCCAGACTGGGTAGGGATGACAGTGAACTAGTTCAGTTTTTACAATAATGCAGTGATTGCACTGGCATATTTGTCTGTTTCTGTACTTTTCCGAAAGTTCCAAAGATGAGTCATTGGACTCAAAATGTTAATTGTGTTTCTGTCTCCACAGACGCAGACAGGCCTGCTGAGTTTCTCCAGCACCCAACAGAAAGGAGGAGGTTTGGAGGGGATTTGAGGAATAGATTATTTGGGTAGTGGGGATCTGGAATGTGCTGCTTAAGAGACTAGTTGAGTTGGGAATTTTCACAACCTTTAAAAAGTACTTGGATGAGCATGTTAAAAGGTCATAACATTCAAGACTATGATCCGAGTGCTAGAAAGTAGGACTAGTGTAGCTTTAAGAGTAGTTTTTGTCAGTACAGACTGGATGGGTCAAAGGGTTTCTTCTGTCCTACATGAATCAATGATTTTATGAGCCTTGTTTTCCTTCCAGATCTCCACCACCCACTGTATTTTGCTAGAGATTGCTGCAGTTATTGATTCTACTTGGAATCCCTACAGTGTGGAAATGGCCATTCGGCCCATCAAGTCCACACTGATTTTCTGAAGAGCATCTCACCCGGAACCAACCCTCCCTACCCTATTCCTGTATTTCCCACAGCCAATTCACCTAACCTGCATATTTTTTGGACCATGGGAGGAAACCAGAGCATCTGGAGGAAACCCATGTAGACAGGGGGAGAATGTGCAAACTTCCACCCGATGGTGAAATCAAACCCAGGTCCTTGGTGCTGTGAGGCAGCAGTGCCAACCACTGAGCCAATATGCTGCCCAATTCCTCAGATAGGAGAGCAATAAGCAGAATGGTTAATCCTCAATCCATATGAAGATGTTTGGGAGACAGAGTGAAAACCTGACCTGCAAGCAGACTAATTGCACACACAGTGACACTGAACAAAGCAGATGAACTATGTTTCACTATCTTTCAGTCTCTCATCATGAAGTAAATAATATATCATTTTTTTGCAAAACAAATTAATTGTGTAATCTCTGCTTTAGATGCTGGGGGTTTCATGTTAATGCACAAAAGAGGCTGATTTCCCTCACCCATACTAATGAGAGACTGAAGAACTTATTTGCTTGGTTCCATCATCAGGGTATGGTACATTGGAGGAATATTGAGTAGGAAGATCTCTCATCAGTGACGGAGCTGACTCAAATTTCAATTGATCGTCTGTAAATGGATGAAGAATTGGATGCCTTCTGTTACTTCCTTACCCTTTCTCAGCGATTTTCTCTCTGTTTCCCACAGACAATCCAATGTACCCAAGTGTCCAACAATGTCTTCAGCAGAAGAGTAAAGGGTTTTGTAATCATCATCTGGACCCTTATTTCACACTTAACCTGGTAGGAGGAAGGAAGTTGATGGTATGGAGATAGAATGGATATTTGAAGATATAATATGAACACTTGGTGGTGGGATGGGCAGGACATTAAAGCTGTTTTGGAACAGAACAAGAGGTTGAGAAAGAAATTCTTCCAAATAATGCCAACATGGCTTCCATTGGAAGAAATGCATGAGAATGAAAAGGAATTGAAATCTCTGAAGCTGGCTGCTCTGCATAAACATTGAAAACCAGAAGAAGTAAACGGTGACACGGAACATGCTGTGTTGGAGAGTTGGGACATGAGCTAATGCCTATGATTCCCAACACAGTAGGTTTTTGATTGCATTGGAGCCATCAAGAAGAGATGAGATCCATCAGATGGAAGGAGGATTGTAGGATGCAATAACCTCAGGCTATTCCTCTGAGCGGCACAGATGTAACCTTTCAAGATATGCAGATATTTTCTATTTCATAACATCTTAAAGGTCTTATTTTTCTTTGCACCATTACAATAGCAAACCTGTGGGTGAAGTTAAAAAAGGCCGTAAATTGAAAAGCCGTTTAACAAGCTGCAGTGTTCTGGGAACAAATAAAGTAGCCAGAAATACAGTATTATTCATTCTATTGATGCAATTGGTATTTTCATTGCCTGCAACATTAAAAATGATCACATACACACATGAAATACTATAGAATCTGTCTCAGCAAAAGCCTGCAATTATCATTAATTATTTCCATCCACATGCTAATGTCCATCAGATGTTAATATGCTTGGAGTTTTAAAAGAAAGCAATTTTTAACCCTTTGTGCACTTGCATCTCCAGAGTATTTTATTCTCACTGGGTGGTCACTTTCACCTTACACACAGTTGTACACAGTTGTACATCAGATTCAATTTCACAGTGGTAATATTGTTGAGAAGCACAGTTAATATAAGATCAATAAACTATCAAAAGCTACTGGACTTATAGTTCATGTACCATATACTATGGTTTTGTACTCTAAATTCTCCCTAATTGGTCAGTTAAGACCTAAATATCAAAATAGCTACTCTAGCTTACTTCCTTAAAACCTTTTGTCCTTCTTAATTTCCTGGCATCTCTAATTTCTTAAGTATTAATTTAGTTTGATATGTAATATCTAGATTCTAAATTTTTGGCACACTTCTTCTGGCCTGCTGTTAATTACCTGTATTTCCTGAAGATAATTTTTAAAGGCAGTAATTTGACTTGTCGTTTTGTAAATGCATTGATGCCGTTCATCCTGGAACCTAATGTCGTATTGGGCATTGACTGCCTCCTTTCTACATACACTGGAGGCACCAGAAGATTTAAAACATTGGAAGACTGCTAGGTATTTTGCACATGCTCTGCAGGATGGCATTATGAAGAAGCATCGAATTTAAGGATGAAGAGAGGTTTTGAGGAAATGAGCTGAAGAGCAGCCAAGATCATTTTTTGATCATCACTTGCCAATAGCGAGAGCTTAACATGCAAAGACCTCAATGTACAGTTTCTGTGGAGACAAAGCAGGGTCTGTTCTGAAGAAGGGTCATTGGACCTGAAACGTTAACTCTGCTCTCCCTCCACTGATGCTGCCAGATCTGCTGAGTTTTGCCAGCATTTTCTGTTTTTGTAAAAGCCCAGCAGGTCTGGCAGCAACTTTAATGAAAAAATCAGAGTTAACGTTTCGGGTCACAGATGCTGCCAGTCCTTTTTCCAGCAACTTCTGTTTTTGTTCCTGATTTACAGCATCCGCACTTCTTTCATTTTTTTCTGTTTTTGTCTCTGATTTCCAGCTTCTGCAGCTCTTTGTTTTTTTTCGCTCAATGTACAATCCATGAGCTAAGCCTTCAAAACCAGGATTACACAAGAGTTTGTGGATTTGAGGATTTTATTGTAATGTATTGATTATGTTATACATGTTGCCATAGCATTTGGAATGCAACGAGAGCGAAAAAATTTAAATTGGACCAAGATGTCACGTCACTCACAATTGGTCACTATCAAAAGAATTAAACAATCTGTTAGGGAGGAGAATGATAGACAGGCTTAGAACATTAGCCATTGAGGAAGAAGTTGATGAGCTTGCTGACTTGGAGATTGAAGATAATGGTAATAATTATTTGATATGCACCATAAACGCCAGAAATATTGTAATGCTTATTATTAAAATTATCATCTGTACATAAATGGAAATATATCCAAAGAAATAATAACATCCATCACATATCAGCCTCTAACTACATCTCCAATCTACTTACAGGGAGCTTCTAAAATTCAAAGCAGCACCTCAGTCTGCACCTGCAGCCATCATTGTAGTGCCTTAAGAATAACACTTTGCACTTGAGGACCCGCACCCCAGCTGCTGAGTGAAGAAGGCAGCACCTCTGGGCTATTTGCTGGGTCTCTCAGCACTCACCCACAGCACCCTACTTTGCATTGCCTTGCTTTCTTGCACTTTTCCAATTCAGCCAGAGATACCAGGCTCACAGTACTGCCGTCTGGCTGTGAAATTCAGCACAGACACAAAGTCAGGAAAGTTATCAGGAGTCATCATCAGTCCTCAGAGAAATCAAGGGAGATAGCCTTTGCTCAGGGGTTCCTGACACAGTAAGTCAAGGGCAAACTCTGATGCCAGTCCAGAGCTTGGGCACAGTCAGTCAGCCACTTGAGGCAATCTGAATCAGCGTCCTCCCCTCATGAAGGGTGAGGAGTTGGATATCAGTTTTCCTCCTGGAATGGAAGAGTGGTAGATATTAAGGGAGATGAAAATGGGTGGCACAGTTGTTTTTGGTACAGGTGGGGAGAGATCCAAAATGATTGAGTAGGCAGCATCAAGGGATGTTGAGTGTTGAAGGAGAGAGGTGGGGAGGGTGGGATGTGTTCCATTAATGCGGGAAGATGTTGCAGGCGACAGTGAGAGTAGTAGGGCTTGAGCCTTGGTGGGAGATGGGTACATGAACAGAGATAGAGGGAAGCTGAGCCATCAGAGAGAAGATGGTGGTGCTTACACTGGCAGAGTGGAGAAGGTCATTGACGTTCTTCCTACAATGCTGGGCATTCCTCCAGATAACACTAACCATGTGGCAAACTCGGGCCAGCTTGGTATGGCCTGGGGTCATGTCCTCCAGTGCTAATCCTGGACAAAAAGAATGACCCATCTATTGCAGACTTCATCCAACAGGCCCTCCAAGACCATGTCCACAAAGCAGGGCACTATTTTCCACTTCACATACCGTGTTCAAGACAAATGTCAAGAACAGTGCAGGGCAGATCCAGACAGAGACACCACTTGTCCTCTGCACAACGACCTATTAAAGATGGTGAAAAGGGATGCTGGCCTTTTGGCAGGTATCTGGTGAATGGTATGTTGATGTGGTCAGATGGGGCCAGAATCAGAGTAAAAGATGCCTTAAGGGACGACGGACACATTAATAGGACAAGTTTTACAAAATCTTACTGGTCCTCAGGGTGATAATCCATCCAAAAACCCTTGATACAACTTGCACTTAGCCAAAAAAATGTGAGATGCAGCTTTGTAAAGCTCACCTCCACTGATCCTAAATCATCCACTCTGGAGACCAATATGGCTGGCGTATCAAGTATTTACCTTCATGAGCCAAATAATGTTCTGTGTTGCCTCAGGGACAGCAGATTAAGTTTAAATTCTTGTTACCATACATTTATTGAGTTGCTAATACTAACTGATATGAGTGTTTTGATTCAAGGTTTATCATAATGAAACGAAAGGTTCAAGGTTTATCATAATGAAACAAAAGGTTCAAGGTTTATCATAATGAAACAAAAGGTTCAAGGTTTATCATAATGAAGCAAAAGCAGATCAAAAGCAAGCAAGAAGCAAAACCTCCGGGCCTGCAAAGTTCAAACAGCACATAAGAAATATAATTGCTAATAAGAATAAAAAAGCAATTCCTCTGACTCCACAGTTTAATATAGAAGCTCGGATTGACAGAATAAAACAGCACAAAAAGACAGTGTCTGTCAATCATAGCTGTGCCAGTATTTGTAAAAGCTCTCCAGTTCATTCCCAGTCCCCGTGGACCTGCAGTCTTCTTTTCCTTCAAGTGTTTATCCAATTTCCTTTGGAAAGTTAGATATAAATCCATTTCTGTCACCTTTTCAGGCAGTGTATTCCAGATCATAACAGCTTGCTCAATATAATAAACAATTCTTCATGTCCACGCTTTTTGTTTAGCCAATCACTTTAAATCAAGGTCCTCCAGACACCAATCCTCTCCAACTGCAATCAGTTTATCTTTATTTATTTCAGCCAAATTATTCATGACCTGAACACCTCGATCAAGTCTCCTCTTAACATTTCTACCTTAAAAACATAACTCCAGCTTCTCCTGTCAGTCCATATAGAGATAGATAGAAGGTAGAATCCTTACAGTATGGAAGCTGACAATTCGGTCATCAAGTCCACACCGACCCTCCGAAGAGGAGCATCCCACACACACCCTTCCCCTACCTTTTTCCTGTAACCCTAACATTTCCCATGGCTAATCCACCTAGCTTGCACATCCTGGACACTACGGGCAATTTATGGTGGCCAATCCACCTAACCTACACATCATTGGACTGTGCAAGGAAACCAGAGCACCAGGCGGAAACCAGTCAATGATCATGCAGATCAGTTTTGTTGATTTTTTTTGCACCCTCTCTAAGACAATGGTATATTTTCCAAAGTGTTGTGTCCAGTATTGAACACAATACACCCAATGAGGTCTAACCAAGGTATTATAAAGTTTCGGCATAACGTTCTTGCTTTTACACTGTAATGATTTTATTAATTCATCCATTGCTCCTGCTTATTGAAGAAATATTTTCGTGCACTGTTTTTTAGTCATTCACAGGATATGGGTTTTGCTGGCTAGGCCATCATTTATTGACCATGTTAAAAAATCCAGAGGACAGTTAAGAGTCAACCACAATGCTATGAGTCTGGAGTCACATGACAAAGTGAAAGTTAAGTTAGGAGATTCTTTAAGTCAAGGGTTATGAGGAAAATTGTGAAATCAGAACCCGGGATAATCTTCAAATGGAAGATGGTGAATATTTTAAAAATGAAAATGTTAAAGATCTAGAGAAGGTGCTGGGAGATTGGATATGACTATCGTACTTTCACAGATCTAACATGGTGGGCGTGTGGAATGCGCTGCCGGCAGTGGTAGTGGAGTCAGATACTTTAAAGACTTTTAAGCGGCTCTTGGATGGGCACATGGAGGATAGTAAAATGTAGGGTATGCAGGGTAGATTGATCTTCGTAGGATAATAGGTTGGCACAACATCGTGGGCCAAAGGGCCTGTACTGTACGGTGCTGTGCTGTACTGTTCTATGTTCTTAACACAGTTAGCACAGATGGCGTGTTTCTATCCTGTAAAATATCAGGGGAGAAGATTGTAGAGTGATGGGTGAGTGCTGGCAGGGCACCAGAAATAGAACAACCCTGAGCGTGAAGATTGGCAAAGGGTTCCAGGACACCCTAGCAAGCTGAAAAACAGCAGTGCAAACTGGGTGGCCCCAGCTTTCCTGTATACTCATGGAAATAATCTAGACAACTTGGTTTTTCAAAACTTTAGAAGTTGTGGGTGGCCATTTTGAAAACACGCAGGGAAACAATGCCACAAAACTCTTCAGCTCATTGGTGTTTGCTGTTTTCCAGCACATAGTCACTCTTCAGTGGGGAGTCCTGTTAATTCATTAGAAATTCTCATAGGACTGAACTGCTGTTATGATGTGATAACATTATATATTCATTCACTCTTGCAGAACTCATGAATTATGCCTTTTTCAGATTTAGAAAGATTTTTCTTTAGTTCCAGCAAAATAGTATCTACTGTAGAGCATCTTTAAAATCCCTATAATAAGGACCTACATGAAATTTCTTTTTACAGTCTTGACCAAGATGTCGTTAGGAGTATACAAACCTACTTAAGGACTACATTGTTATATTATTCAGTCTCGGAATGTGGGACCATC